TTATCATTTAAATAAAGAAACAAAAAATTTGATTCTCAACCGATCTTCAAAATAAATTTTTTTAAAAAAAGTCTTAGCCATTTCCACGTGCCACTGCATGCTACGTACCACATTGCAACATGTCGTAAGATAAATCTGCACATACTCTCCCAAATTCCAGTCCAGGATTTGTACAATTCACAAAAAAAAAAAGAAAAAGAAACAAGAACAAATTACAAGTTGAAATATTTCTTAAAATACTATTGTCGCCTAAATTTGTACTCTCTCCGTCTCATAATTATTATGTAGTTTGAGTTTTCATTTCTAGTTCAAATTGTACTCAAAGTGAAATCTCAAATTGGACAATAATTATGAGACAGAAATATTATACAAATAAAACACTCTCAATTATTCAGTTTCCCATTTTCCCTTTCCCTGTTTTATGGTTGCGTTACTACGTAAGAATTACATTAGAGTTCATACAGTTGCGGGAATTAATTAAAATAATACTCCACTACAGATGAGATTCAACGCCCAAGAAGCCAGAAGGTTAAGCTATAATTAATTTTTACTATCACTTTCTGTATAAATTTCAATATGAGAAACCTGAATTAATAAAGTTGACAACATATAATAATGAGGCCATAGTCAGCCTGGAATTCTACAAATTTAATCGATAAAGTAACCGTAGACTTTTAAACATTCTTGATTCGTTTAATAATATTCCCCAGCAGCCCTTATATTTTTTTATTATACCTGCTATATAGTCCCCCCTACGTAACACCCTTGCCCCCTATCCTACTCCCCTTTCCTTAAAAAACAAATAAACAATTAATTAAAAGAGAAGAAAAGATTGAGTATATGAAGTAACTAAAGGGGAGAAGGGACAGGAAGACAAAAGTGCTGAAGAAATGTGTGGGATTATTGGATTACATAATTCTAAAATTCTTCCAAATGATTGGAAATCTAATTATATGAAGCGTAGGAACAGAAAGGCTGTTGTCAGTCTGAAGTCTGATCGGATCCAAAGCCTCATCTACCTAGCTTTCAACTCATGATCAGAGAAACAAGAATATTCATCCCAATCCCGTCCTCCTCATTTCAAAGGCGGCGTATCCATCAACTTACACTGATTACTTAATAATATTCATTCTGTCTCAGAAATAAAAATTTTATTTATTTAACTGTTTCGAAATATACAAACATATGATTCGTATTATGAAATTGAGATTAGTTTAATGAGATCGTAGTGATATGTAATTTGTGCTCAAGAGGTATATATAGGGAAGAAACTACAATAACTAGTTCAAATTAATATTTGTCATATTTTTTTCAAATTACATTTTAGCAATAGTTACACGATTAATAACCGTAAAATATATAAATGTAAAGTTTTGACAAAGCACCTAAGCTAGGTAGCAGCCTATGGCAATTGGTAGTATATATAAATTGGAACCAAACAGCCTCAAGGCAGCATATATACGCAATTTTGTGGGTGTCTCTCTCTTTTTGAAAGTGACTCCTCACTTCTGCTGACATATATTCCTGCCTTATTCTCTATCAAATTATCGTACCTTTTGTAGCGTATGATAGTCAATCAAGTAACTACATTCCATGCGTGAATCTTGTTGTATTATGTTATCAAATAATTCAAATGTTATAAGCGTGCAAAAAAGTAATAAATTATTTCCACTACTCATTGCGCTCTCTCTCTCTATATATATGCCTTCATTAAACCGGTTTCGTATATAAATTAATTCACTTGGAAGTATTTTTAGTTTATCTTTGAGGCGATTGAGCTGAACATAATTCTGGTAAATAATAAAACTAACAAGAATTAAGAACATTCTCTTCTTCTTCTTATTTATTTTTTAAAAAAACAAAAAAAAATGAGCCAAAACCAACCCAACAGAGACCTATACCTAGGAGATCTAAAAAGAATGAAGGATGAAGATAAAAGATTAAAGGGTTGGAAGAGAAGAGCTTTTAGCTTTTGCTAGAGGGATGGGAAACCATGAGGTGGATACATTACCTCTCCAACTCCCCCATTAATGATACGTACGGAAAACTAAGCCCAAAAGAAGGCAAAATGGTTTGGTGATGAATTTCATGTAAAAGCATCCCAAAAAGAACAGAAAAATCACAAAGTATGTGTATGCCAATAGGAACCTGGTTTATACTTAATACTCTTATATTTTGAAATAGAGGGAGTAATAAGTAATGTTTTCTGGACGAGCCTCATTCATCATAAATTTTTTGATCACTTATCTTATCAAAATGTCTATAATCTACCAAATAGACTAATCAGTCACATTTACCAGCCTTGTACGCATTTGTTCATGATTTTTGCTTCACATTTCGCATTTGTTTTAATGCTAAACCATACAAACCATGTTCAAATAAATTATTACAAACGCATTATTTCTTTTGTTAGATTCAAAGCGTACCACAAACTCTTCGTTACAGTGCCATCCGAGATTGAGATTAGGCTAAATTTAGCAATGGCCCTCCTTGGTTTTCTTGGGTTTGGATCCTTGGTTTTGGGGGAGGAACAAACATATGGGCATGCAATTAATAGTTTGAGCTGCAGCAAGTGGGACCTTTGGGGGGCTTCTTTTTCTACCTGCTATATTTAGTAAATACTCATCCTGTTGGAAGAACTTTCTTAAGGTTTGTTCGGCCACATTTAATGTGCAGAAGTTCTTCTTGCAATTGTCAAATTTTGCCCCCCCCCCCAAAATGATTTTGTCATTGTTTTGCTTAATTCCGGATTTAAGTCGAATAAGTTTTTAAGAAAGTTAAAGTTTCATAATAAATATTTTAATCACTTGTAGTATTCTTTTTAACATCTTTGATTGAATACATGTTCTTTATAGACCAAGGTCTTCTTTTCCAAAAGCCTTCTGGAAAAGTATTTGGATTGATAAATAAAATTGAGATCATCTTACGGAGTTTTTTTTTCCCAAAACAAAACAAAATAATAATAATAATAATAATAATTTGGTTCATTCTAAAAGGAACAGTCATAAATTAACAATCACCGGATGCTAATTATGAAAGTTGATAGACATTGCATCTCTACTTCAGTCTGAAAGAGCTTTTTGTGGTGCATAATTTCCTGATCTATAATTAATCTAATAAACATCAAAAGCATACTAACAAGCTCTCGTAGCTCAGTTGGTTAGAGCACCCGTTTAGTAAGCGGGAGGTCTTGAGTTCGACTCTCAACGAGAGCATAAATTCTGTTTTTTGCTTTGGGCTATTTTTTTGTTCGAATCTACAACGGATATGTTTAACATAATGGGTCCAGCCTGGTGACTGGACTCTTGGAGTCTGGCCTTATAAAATGGACATAGAAACAGACATTTCCAGTTAATTGGACCACTTAGCTAGAGCCCCTTTAAAGTTTTAAGTATTGGATTTGTGGATTCGTATTTGTAAAAGAAAGAAGTAGAGCCCTTTTGCAGCTTTGCTCTTCTTATTTCGTTTTTTGTTTTATTTTTTCTTGGCACCATCTTATAAATTTGTAAATTTTGAAGTGTATTTTTGTGAGTTTCAGACCAAAAACATATTTAATCATTTTGTCACATTTGTCATTGCCAATAGCAACTATGAAGATCACCACAATAACTAGTAGTAGTATTTTAGTTAGAACATTATCAGTACATATTTTTATCACAATTTCGAATTACATCTTAAAACACCATAAATTTTTTATAAAAAAATAAAAATTCCAGTTAAGAGGACAATGAAGCTTTTGTGTTGTCATCAAATCTCTTGATCAATTTTGAGCTTTTGACTATTGTTAGTTTGTAGACAAATAGCACGGTGTGTGTCGGTGGCAGTTCAACAACTCTCGGCGGCCGGCGTCAATTTTCGCGTCTTGAAGCCACGCTGCTCATATCGACATTTACCCTTTCTTCATGACTAGTCAATTTCTCTAGTTCGCCGTTATTCTTGTTTTCACTTGTTATTATTTCTTCAAATTCCAATACAAAATAATTATTTAGTTTTTTTTTTTTTACTAGACAGAATTATTACTTTAGAGCGGAAAGCATATAATGATATGAAGTAATCTGTAAATCTTTTGGTGATAATTTTTGGTCACTGTAGCTTTCAATACTATAGAAGTTCAATTCTTTAGTACAGTATTTCTTTTAGAATTGCTCAATGTACAACCAGGAGAAAAAGGCCTCTTTTTTTTCCCCCATCGTTATCGTTGAAAAAGGGTAGCAGGATCACCATTCACTAGTACTCCTTCCGTCCTAAAATTATTGTCTAATTTGGATTTTTAATTTCAGTTCAATTTGTACTAAAAATGAAAATCTAATTTGGACAACAATTATGGGACGGAAGGAATAATAGTCACCAATTGACAACGTTAACAAAGAACGACAAAGACTTGGCATCAAATCGAGTGAGATGGACAGAAATTTGAGGGATTGATGTGTCATTATCTTGCTATACACTACTAACACCTTTTTTGTTACAACTTCTAAACATCATTGTCCCAACCAATGCTCCTTTAACTCCCTCCCATAACCATCCATCTAATTTAAAAAATTCAGTAAACCTATCCTAATCTAGCAGTTTTCTCAAAACAAAAAATAAAAAATCCTAATCTAGCAGTAAACTTATTTTGCACGAAATCGTGATTAAAAGAAGTATAATTCTAAACCAAAATAAAAGATTAATAATATACTGACTTTGAAAGCCAAGGTTAATCTGACATTTGACTTAATTATTCAGAATCGTATATTCAAAGTAAAAAGTGCAAAAGTTCTTACTTTTGGAGATCCACCCTGAACCCTAACTTCTTAAAGAATTTAAGACCCGAATGTAGCCCATCATAGTTCAGATTCTCCAGAGTAGAGTACAAAGGGCAAGCAAGAGAATTTTTAGAGGTAAGATAGATGGGGGATGGGGGTGGGTTTGTGAAGGAACATCTGCTAATTGGCCTTTTCAAACATTAGCAGTTCAACTACTCGAGGCTATCTTTCTCTCTGCATATAATGGCAATATCACAGCTCATTCAAAGGAAAGAAAACACAACGCATGAGAAATAAAATCACAAGAACTACGCATTAAAATCCAGGCCATAGAATTTCCTAACAACAAAATACACTACTAAGTACCGAATATTAATGTAACAGAAAGCTGCAGAGCAGGATTGATAAGATAAATCATAGAGCAAATGTCAACATCAAACGCAAAGATCCTATGAACAAAAACTTAACTTCAAAGTCCAGACAATCTGGTACATTCTAAAATACCTAACACATGATAAATACCACGAAGCAAATGAACCAGCTTCAATTTTTTTTGTTGAAATCATCTTCATTGACTGGGAAGACAGAGAAAATTGAATATCCGTGACACAATGATGATCCAGGGCCAAAAACTCAAAGCATGCAGTCAGTCCTCGCAGGCAACCGCCGGAAGAAGTTAAGGGGAACTGATGGGAGTTTGTGACGGAACCTCGGATGCCTCAACACATAAAATCCAGCAAGAAGAGCTACTACTTGAAAAGGTGTCACATAAAGCACAATCGCTGCAACGAGACAAAATATCACAAAAAGGGCAGTCGCTCTAGGGTCTCTCCAGCTTAACAACGATTGAAGCCTTTCTCCTTGGGTTGCCAAGTCACCAACCACGGTCTGAATCCTTCCAGCAATACTTCTCAGCCGGTCATATCTCATCCTAACAATATCTGGAGGACGCGAAGTAGGAAACGTGTCAAACTCCTCATCGAGTTCATCGGGAAGGGCTGCGTCAGCACAAGAGAGTCTAGTATCCATGTGGGGGGGATTCCTTGGCCTCCACCTGTAGTACCAAACTCCAATCAAGAAAAGGTATAAAAAGATTGTTGGCAGAATGAGCTCCGGATACAAGACCAAGATCAGGAACAGAATGTGAATCAGGACGGTCGTAATGGGATTCTTCCAATTACAAATCTGGTCAAACCATTTCCCAACCGCAATTATCCCACTTAACACACCCATGATTCTGAAAAAGTTAGCTTTACTTCTTCTCATGCTCCACATGTGAGACCCCACATCCAGCATATACTCCACTACCTCTTTTCTCAAAGGAGGCTCAGCACGACTAAGCCTCATTGACACAATCTGAGTGGCCTGGTGCCTCAAGCTGTCAAGCTGACTCACAGTTAAAGGATAAATGTAATGCATTTTGGGCAACAAAGGTTGAGAGTACAAATGCATCATGTTCAACAATGAAGAGCATGTAAATCTAACCGCCAAGTGAATTTCTCCCATCTTCTTAACACCAGAAGGATGCAAAACCAAAAGCGGATAAGAATGTGTATAAACACGATCTGTTTCTAGAGTAGAAAGGCGGATTCTGACCTTCCCGATTCGTGAGTCTCTTGCCCCTCCAGACTTGTCACCTCCTTGAAGATGACAGTTATCAAAAACCCCAATGGTGACGACTGTGCAAGGATCAAATACTTCCCAAGTATACTGTTCGTTCCACTTGGGTGCAAAGCTGTCAATAATTGTCCTGGTCCGTACCCACTTCTGCCCATATTTTGCAACACAATAAGCATCAGTTGTTGCCCTCCCATCTTTTGTCTTCATTGGTGATAGGCCCTGAGCATTCAGGATACCCAATTCCAGAACCCCAATGCTCGACTTCCACAATTGCTTTGCAGTAGGTCTAAGATCACTGCTGTAGTGGGTCGATTCATCGAGAACATGATACCCACCTTCCAAACAGATTCTCATGTGAATCCGGCTTGCAAACTTCACATCTTTCTTCTTTTCGCCCTCAACAACGGTAACATGTTTCTCGAGATTATACCACTTGGAGTTTATAGGTTTATGGTCTAACCTCCTGTCAACATATTGCAGAGGAATGGCACACCTGCAAAGAACTTCATCCTTATTAGGAGCAACTCTATCTTCCACACTCAGAATCAACGGTTCCTCAAACGGTTCTGCTGCTACAAACATTAAATCCTCATTCCACATGGGATTAATTGTCTTATTCATGGATACTCTAGTCCTTAAGGCTTGATTCCCAAGAATGGCCTTCACAAAGACTTCAGGAAACCGACTCTTATCATTAGGTATTAAATCCTGAGCTTCAATCACATTAACCCTAAGGTACCAAAGCTTTGGTGAAAGATACACTTTTGACCTAATGTTTGCTAGACCGTCAGCACCGCTAACAGCAGCAGCGTCTGAATGCCAAGCCTCAGGAAATGCTTCATCTGCTTGAGTACCCATCCAGACAGCCAGCATAAGCTCTCCTTTCACCTTGTCACCTTTCCGGTCCTCCAATCTATACCATTGCGGTGCCAAAGGACTGTCGGGAGGAACCCTTTTCGGAACTTCATTCAAATCAAACAGCACCCGACCAATATAATCATCCTTCACAAGATCTTTATCTTTCACAGTCACCTCAAGAACCGAAGCCTGAAGCCGATCCTTTGAAAAGGCAAACACCTGATTCCATTCAGGATTGGACTTCTTCTCAAAATGGCGAGTGGTGCCCTTATAGTTTCCAAGCTTAACCTCGACATAAGGGTCACAACTGCCAGTCACATCCTTCCCAGGTAAATCTTTTGCCTTTACCACCCTAACATAAAGGTACTGCATTTGCTCGACAAGATCATAAGTGCTGGTGAGCTTATCTCCGGTGACCTTCCCTCCACCAAGGTGGGGTTTAGTCTCCTTAAGCTGGAAATCTTCCTGTGGAGGCCTCTGCATTTTTCTGGGCCCTTTAACTCAAACCCCTCTTCGGGCTAACCTTACAAGAACACCCCTAATAACTTATATATAAGCACAGATGCTAAAACCCTTTCAGATCTCTCACCCCAATAATAAAAAGCCGTAACAGTTAAAAAGAAGAATCTTTGAACTGGCTCGAGTATTAAATAGGAGAGAGGTACAAAGCATGAAACTGAAAAGCAGAGTTCAAACTATATTGACCGCCTAGATCTCTGAAGAACCTCGTCAAGGAGCTGTTAAATAAAACTCCAAAATCTTCATTGTAATGCTTTCAGATCTGGAAAGCTCCAAACCTGCAACAAAGGGGAAAAAAACAAAATAAGAAAGTTTCCTTATAAACAGAGCAATTTTCTGCAAGAATGCCCACAAATTAATTCCCCAAAACAAAAATCTTGCACACCAAACCATCAATCTAAACAGAGAATGACCGTGAATAACAGAAAGAAATTGCCTTTTTCTTAACATTCAACCAAAAGAAAGCACATTGAAGCAGAAAAGCCCAAATTTACACCTCAAAAAATGCGATTGAACCCTAAACTCTGTGCATTCAAGGAAGTAGCAACAGTGTAATCACCCACACAAATAACAATATCCACAGATACGAAGGAACATCCCAAAAAGTAAATAAATGCCAGAACAATATGGATATACCTTAGGAGCAACTGAAAGCAGGAGAAGAAACTAGAAAAGAAGATAATAGAGGGTATTGTTGATAAGGTTCTAAAAGAACAAAGAGAGACTAATAAGGGGGGTTTTGATTTTGCTGCTTTATGAAGATGGATGGATGAAGAATCAAAAGTGAAAGGAAAAACCCACAAAAGAAAGAACAGTAAGTAGGTCTAGTCTAGACAGAGAAGGCCAAATAAAATAAAGTAAAAAAGCCACAGCAAACAAACAAACAACAACAGAGCGTCTATATCTGTGATTGAGGTGGTGCTGGTGCCTTTGCTGTATATGTAAACTCACCTTTCCTTTTTTTTTTTTTTTAATCCCCTAATTTCTTCGTCGGGTAAAAGGGTTTTTGAGATGGAGTTGGAAAGACAGAGAAGTTTCAAATTGAATGAGGCTTCCCTATAATTTTTCAGTGGTTTTTTCTCACCATCTTTCCTTGTTTAGTTTTGTGTGTGTCTGTGTGAGAGAGAAAGGAGGAGGAGGAGAGAGAGTGGGGGTGTGGGGGTGTGTGGTGGAATCTGATGGATCTCTTCGAGAAATATACACACCGAACTATGGCCGAGTGTGAGAATTTAGGACTGGATACATATGTCGCTTTATGTTCCTTTTTCCTTTTTTATTTTTTTTCTTTTTTTTAATCTGTTTTGGGGCAAACATACTCTAGTAGTAGTATTTTGATAAATACTACTATTTTCTAGTTCTTTTTTAAGTTTTGAATTAGTGTTTTTTTTTAAGGGTACTTGTATTATTAGTGAAAGATACTTATATTATTATAGTGCATTCTATTTTGAAGTAGTAAAATGAACACTACCACAACAACGCTAAAAACCTTTTTTCTTTTTCTTTTTTTTCAGAATGCCAAATTCACAATGATAAATTTCAATAATCATCCTCAGAAAAACTTGTAGCATCGATATTTTGTTGAAGGGAAAAAAGAAATAAGAATCTCTAGAAATTGAAATGAGGTAGGAGTAAAACACTAGTATCATTTCTTCAAAAGATCACACTACATTTACTAATTATGAAAGTCGAAATATGCAGGAGGAACTTTACTGTATTTTCTTTGTATGAGGAATCCATGGTTGTGTTGATATAGATCGGGCTCGATTCACTTGATTGTATCTACTTGTCTCTATTGGTGTCTTTATTGTATTAACGATAGTACTAATAAATAATAATCATCAAGAATACAAGAAGAAAAAATAGCTTGTAATTAATTAAAAATAAAAATTTTGAAAGCGTATAAATAAGAGACTTCAACTTATGACGAGAACTCAAAATTTAAAAATGTTGTTATGTTTATGGTGATAACATTGGGCTCTTATTTTTTTACTACTAGTAGAACCTGTATTGTTAGGAATGAAGGAAAAAGAGGGGTTTTTTTTTTTTTTCTTCTTTGTTTGTTAATCTTGACCAAAAATAAACGACCGGCCTCAAGGTCCACAACATAAAACTTGGGTCGGAACAAAATCCAAATCACGTGCCCCGTCCGCGGTTTCCGCTCTCCTCCTCTTTTGGAATATCTCTTTCCCTTTCTTTTTCTTTTCTTAATTCGTTTGATACTTTTGGAATATCAATGGCCAGCCTTAAAGGTCTGTGGTAAATCTGATCAGTAACCATCATCAACCAAATCCATTTCTGTTTAGGCCCATTCCCCCAATCAAAAAGAATCCTACGGAATTTCGACCCATAAGGTTACAAGGAATCATACGTCCAATTCATTTTTTTAGTGCAATTGTAACGTAATTTTCTTTGCTCTGATTTACAACATTCACTTTTTTTAAAGTTTAATGTTTTGTAACTAATAAAAAAAAAATTTACTCCAAAGTCACTCTCATAATTATTCAAACTCAATATCAAAATAAAAAAATTGCTCCAAGTCTTAAAATTTCGTCAAAGTTTTTCTTTAATAGTAGAAGTCGAACTCAAGAGTAAGTGAGTCATGTTGTTATTCAGTAGTATTGTTGTCTAAAATTACACTTCCTCCCTTCCAAATAAATAGTTTATTTCCTTAAACTGAAAAAATATTGTCTCTGACCCCCCAAAAAAAAGTTCAGGTTGAGTTAAAATTTATAAAAAAATATATATATAAACTTTAGTGTGAACTATTTTTTTTGGGATATAAAGAATATAATAAAATAAACTATTTTTTTCTAAGAGAAATAATTATTGTTGATGGCCTTCTGTGTCATGGTTGCGTGTACATTTAACTGGACCAATGCCTAAGATTTATCCACCTCATCCTTGTAAAATTCCTTGTCAATTTTTCCATGCATCTATCAACACTCTTATAAATTAGCGGATTGCCACAAAAATAATTATTGAAATAGAACTAGAGGAAGATTATATTAACTGCAAATCTTGTGTATTTTTTCTTTTGACCTTTCGTGTGACTTTTATTTTTATTTTTGGTTAACATAAAAAAATTTCAAAATGGGTAAGTAGGGTAAATATTGGCTTTATAATGATGGACCCTATTTGGGTCCTGTAAATTTGGTACGTTGCGGCGAGTAATGAGGATCCAAAGTAATATCCAAATGAAGCTTTTTTCTTTTCCTTTTTTTTTTTTTTACAAAAAAATGAAGCTACTGTAAAAGCAAATAGAATTATGAACTTGGAATCAGCGGCTTCGTGAGGATCACTATGAATGGTTCTACCGAGTTCACCGTCAAAAAATAAAATATAAGAAAAATGAACTTGTTCAACCTTAACAAAAAATAAAAATAAAAATAAAAATTGTCCCGTACTTATGTTCTATTTTGGTCAAAAAAAAAAAAAAAAAAGAACTTATGTTCAATTTTGGTTATTACCTATCAAATGCGTGATAGTTACAAACAAATGTTTAGTATTAACCCATAGAGCGTAGAAAGTTTGGTGAGATGGAACTTATATACAATTAGATTTCAAAACTACAATAGTATAACTATCATTAGTAATATCATTATATAGAATGGACGTGAAAAATGTTCGGACAGAGATAAGCTGGTAAAACCGAGATGTTACAATTATATAGTGGATTTTCATTTCTTACAATTTATGATGGAGTTCACGAAGTTATAGTTAAAAAAAAAGTCATCATAACCTATATACTCTAACTGTTCCAAAAAGAAAAATCTACATTGAATTTTTAAATTTGTACTAAGAACGTTCAAAATTCGAAATATCTTTGGCAATTGTTCATTTTGTTAATCTTGTTTACTTCTTTTTTTTTCACGCTTTACTAAAGAAAACATTCGATGTCAATTTCAGGCGTCAATTGGAATCCTTTTATGATTCATTTTGTTAATAAGTGATCTCTACAAATAAAAAATGAGGGGGATCAAATGCTATTTCTTTAAACGATCACACTCTGTAGGTTTTTTAAAAGAGGAAACCATGGTTTTGTATATGAAGATAGTAGTTACATGATTTTACATTTATAAGTTGAAAATTAGTTTTTTTTTTTTTAAAAAAAAAACATCATTTAAGAGATGCCAAGAAGGATGATTGTCTTAAAAATAGTTTTTTTTTAGTACAACCATATTGTTCATATTATTTGAATGTAAATACAGTACAAAAATAAAGAACAAATTATGCGTAATCAAACAATACTCATTTCACTCTTGCACAAAGCTTCTTTCATAATGTAATGCTAAATGGGAGAGATCGGGCCCGATTCATTTGATTGTATATATATTTATATCCAATGGTATCTTTATTTTAAGCGTGTAAAAAAAATCATAATTAAGATTAGAATGTTGAAAGATGTATAAATAAGAGATCTCAACTTATGAGGAGAATCCAAAATTTAAATTAAATGTTGTTATGTTTAATGGTGATAATATTGGACTCTTATTTTTTACCACTACTACTTGTTTTGTAACTTTTGTTAATGTGTGTTATCTTGACCAAATATAAACGACCGACCACAAGGTCCACAACATAAAACTCGGGTCGTAACAAAATCCAAATCACGTGCCCCGACCGTGGTTCCCGCTCTTCTCTTTTTGGAATATCATTGGCCAGCCTTAAGCTTAAAGGCTGATGGGTTCTGATCACATTTACCACAATCAACCAAACCCATTCCCATTTAGGCCCATTACTAAAAAGGAAAAAGGAATCCAACGTAATTTCGACCCAAAAGGTTCCAACTTCCAATTATGGTTTATGGTGGGATTGTACTGTAATTTTCATTGGTCTGATTTACAACATTTTCACTTCATAATAAAGTTTAAAACGTTGTAACCGAAAAAAGTAATAATAATCCAAAGTCCACTATTATCATAAATTATACAAAGTCACTGCCAAAATAATATTGTACAATGTTCTCAACAACAAAAAATACTCCAAGCTTTCGAATTTTTTTAATGGTAGAAATCAAACTCGAGAGTTAGTGAGTAATGTTGTTCTTGAAAGTATAAGAGGGTGGTAATCAAACAGACAACACAAAAGACACTAAAGAATAAAGATGAAAAATTTATGAACTTTATTGTTAGAAACTTGAATCTAACAATAATGGGGGAATCACAAGATTTGGATGTGTTCTAATCGTGTTAGACACTGTCTTTAAGACAATATTTGCCCCCTCCATGTTGCAATACCGGGTTTGTTTGGCAATTTGCCTCTAGGACATAAAGAATACAAGAACATGCAACTTGCAATTATTGAATGTTCTCAAGAATTTAGGAATGCAAAAGTTTCTTAGAAATCATGCACCAGTTCACCTATTTATAGGTAACACTTGCAGAATTAAAAGGATACAAAACTAAGTACACAACCCTTGGCTTGTAGGAAATAACCACCATGCAAGTGAAGAGTTGCCAACTTAATTATTATCGTTAAATTCTAAATTAATTATTTTATTTTACAAACTAAAAATTTTCAACATTCCCCCACTTAGTTTGTAATATAAAATAATTATATAATCATGAGAATCGCACTTAAGAGGTGGTAACTTTCGTCTTAAACCACATCGTAGTGAAATTAAGTCACCTAACTAGCTAAGTTATTGGTGGCTCGTTGCTTAAACCAATAATCAGTCCAGTATAGACTTAATAATGCACGCACAAACACCCATAGCATTCATTATAATTCACATTATGATTTAGCACTATTACCGGCCATGTGCTTATCCTAGATTCTTGATCATATATAAAAGGTAATCTCAAACTTTTGCTAGAAGCGGCACCACCTCTATGATCAAATAGGTGGAAGTTATTCCAGTTTATTACTATACCGTAATTAAACGCTCGGGAATAATTCCATTAAGAGATTTCTCTCAACCTGCTCACTTAATAGTAACATATATAATGCACCAATACTTGGAATGGTATACACAAATTTTGGTGCTCACAACCACAAAATAACTTGTTGTTATCCTTTAAACCTTGCAATCTAGGGGTAGTACTAGAAGAAGGTTGGGTTTCTATTGTTCGTGATTTTAGTATTGAGATTTTACTCTCATTCCTCATGTTGTCGAAAAACACCAATTCTCTCGTAAGAGATATGGTACATGGATTCATAATAAAATTGTATTTTTACAAACACAACACCGACAACATCAACACTTGTATCTCATTAAGAAATGCATATATTGAATTAATATGTCTACATTTACCCATTGTCAAAGTTTGCACAATGTTCAAGACATATTAATCTAACTATCACAACGCAAGGTTACAGGCGACACAGGCCAGGGCCCTTTGGCCACTTCACCTCCTTATG